CCATTATGAACTCTCCAAGTTGATGGAAAGGGTTGTGTTGTATCTGCCTCTCCGGAGAAATCATATACCCTATCATAGTTCTTACGCGGCATCTAAACGGCTGTTCCAGGGGACCCCTAGCTCATGGCATGTTTCACATTGTCTAATCTTATATCTTACAAGATTAGCTGAATATGGAATCCAAAGGGCACCGACCAACGTAACATATGGAAAGCTGCCCAAGTAATCAAACAACACCGTAGAGGTAAAGACACAGACCAGTGATCCAATGATATCTTACTTCCAAGGACTTAAGTAATGCAAGATTGGGAGCAATTTCATTTGATAAATGCTTACGCGTGACGCAATTGCTCTATTAGTGTGATTATTTAACCACCTTGTGACTCTAATCTCTATTCTATTCTCGAATTTAATCAATTTTTAAACATGGAATACTCTTATCTCACCTCTGCCGTGCAAAAGGGGCAGGCTTAAACTACTGACTAAATCCTGCCCAAGGGAAGGCAAAAAAGAATTAACAATAGAAAGAATGGGGAAAGGAAGAAAAAGGAGGAAGTGGCCCCTCCGCCCTCATCAGTTCAATCAACCAACGTTCTTCAAACTAATTGAATGTAGTTAAAAGGAGCCAAGTCTCATCCATTAAACGAATCAACCAACTGAACCAATCCAATCAAAAGCCTATCATTGCGTTCAATGCCTATAAGAATAACAGAACCAGTTTGGCCTACCTGAGATTTCAATACAACAAAATAATAAGTCTCAACATCTCCGAAAATGCAGAACATATACTTCAATGAGTTGTTACTAACCTCGCCAAAGCAATGAAATACCTTACTCATCAGGCCACGGTAGCAAAGAACATGCATTCAAAGAAATGTGCTACTAAATCTAAAGGGAGCTGAGGATCAATCAACTACCAGTAACAGCCTTTAATAATTTATATATAAGGATAAAATACTAATAGCAACATACAATCCAAAAACCTAACCGCATCAAAACTTGAAATAACATAAACCCACCACCACGGAGTGGGCAAAACTGGACAATCTTTATGTAGCAATTGTGCAAGACCCATATCATTAAATGGTCAGATATGTTTAAGAACAACATTAACTTAAGACACTAGATGGGAAAAGAAAAAGAAAAGAGCACGTTAAATAGTACTTGCAAAACAACAAAACCCCTTGCCTCAACAATCTTCAAAATGGGTAATCTCATCAAAGGAGATCAGCAACGTTTGACGGCAGCTCCTCGACAACCACATTGTAGAATTTCTGGATGTCAAACAGCATTCTCTCATCATCCCTAGTCACAAAGTTAATGGCCACACCTTTTCTTCCAAACCTTCCACTTCGTCCAATACGGTGGAGGTAGTTTTCTGGTTGAGTCGGCAGATCATAGTTTATGACAAGAGAGACTTGCTGCACATCAATACCACGAGCCAGGAGATCAGTAGTGATGAGAACACGAGAAGAACCAGAACGGAATTCACGCATTATAATGTCACGCGTATTCTGGTCCATGTCTCCATGGGTGGCAGAAACTGTGTGGTCACGACTTCGCATCTTGTCAGTTAGCCAGTCAACCTTGCGCCTGGTGTTCACAAAAATGACACTCTGGGTGATGGCCAGGGTCTCATAGAGATCACAGAGAGTTTCAAGCTTCCACTCTTCCTTTTCAACATTCACATAAAACTGCTTGATACCCTCAAGGGTGAGCTCATCACGCTTAACCAAAATTCTCACAGGTTTGTTCATGAACTTCCTAGTGATCTCAAGGGCTTCTGGTGGCATTGTGGCAGAAAATACTCCAACCTGAATCTTGGCTGGCAGCTGCTGGAAAATATCATAGATCTGACAGAGATAACAACATTATTAGAGCACAAAATATCAAAACCAGAGCTTCCAAACCTCATAATCATTAAAAGAACATGATGGAAATAACAAACCTGATCCTTAAAACCACGAGAAAGCATTTCATCAGCCTCATCCAAGACAAACATCTTAATATAATCTGGTCGAAGTGACTGCCTTCTCAACATGTCAAAGACACGACCCGGAGTGCCAACAACAACATGAACACCACTTTGAAGAATGCGTTGATCCTCTCGAACACTTGTCCCACCAACACAAGCATGGACCTTCACACCAAGGTAATCACCCAGTGCCCGCATCACCTTCTCAATCTGTTGTGCCAACTCCCTAGTGGGAGCCAAAACCAGAGCCTGGCATTGGACTACACCATAGTCAAGTTGCTGTAGAATTCCAGAGCAGAAAGTTGCTGTCTTCCCAGTTCCAGACTGTGCCTGCTGAATTACATCAAGACCCTTGCAGAAAGGAACAATTCCTCTTTGCTGAATTGCAGAAGGCTTCTCAAAACCTTGGAAAATATTTTGGACAATGGATTCAGCAAAAATTAAAGCATTGAAAAATTATAGATGTCCAAACAAATAGCACGCTAGGATACTTTAAGAGTTTATAAAAGCTGACAGAACTTATAATTTTCTTTTAAAAGTCCCACCTACCATATGCATAGATACCCCTCAAAAGGTTCTCTTGAAGTCCCATTGAATCAAAACTGTCATAAACTTCATCATAACTTGTGAAAAACTCATCTCCATCAGTTTGAAGCCTGTTCCATTTGAATTTTCACTACATATAAGCATCACCAAGTTGTAAAGCAAATAGTAGTTTCTTTTTTCTTTTTTTTTTTGCTTTATAAGAAAGACATATGCAAAGGGAGGAAAGCATGTGGTCCACAAACAAAAACTTACAACTCAGACATTTTCTGATCATATTGACGAGCATCAAATTGGGATCCTTCTGGTGCCAAACCTGCCATGACTGTGCAGAGGAAACAAAGAATGAAGCTTGGTTAGCAAAGTTCAGCTCAGCTGTAGACGGTGATTTTAGCTTTCAGAATAAAGATATCATAGGTAATCAAGATGTTGCATAATATACAAATACCAACAAATCTAATCAGACAGTTAATGTTTGAAAGATGTTTAATTTTCAAAAAAACATAAGTCAGAGCCTTTTAATATTGAGAAAAATGTAACAGAAGAGCCAAACTTGCACACCAGAGGACAAGGAGCACAAGCATTAACTTCTGATTCAGTATCTGGAGAAGATACACAAAGGGGAAATTGGTATCTGCCATTTTGGACAAAAATCCTTTACCAGACACCATTGCCCATCTCTCCAAAATTCACCCAGGGCCATGAACTTCAAAGGAGAGAGTTTAACAAATTGTTATCACCAAATCTTTAAAAAATACTACATGAGACACGTACTGTTTAACAAATTGTTATCACCAAATCTTTAAATAGTACTACATAAGACACATACTGATGAAACTGTCTTAGGAACACATAACCATCACTCATCACCATTGGTTAGTTCACAAAAGGGTTTTAATATTCTAGGCAAATAAGAAAACCTGCTTTGTTAATTATACATTCATTCTGATGAGTACACAGGTTGACGGATGATTGACTATTACCTAAGTTAATTAATCCTAAAAGTTGGGAAAGACATCAAAATCAGTCCTAGAATCTTCTAAAGCCAGGTCACACACTCTCATCCATTTGAACAGTGACAGTGATTACACATTCAACTCAGACCAAAAAATTCCAAACTTGTTATCTATCAAGTTCAGAGTTACAGCGAAGCAACACATTAAAACTAAACTA